CTAAATAAATAAATAAATAAATAAATAAAATAAAATAAAAATTATCTCTCTCTTTCTCTCTCTCTCTCTTTAAAGAAAAAAAAAGAAAGAAAAGGGGATAAAGAATAGAAATTTTGTTCTGGAAATTTAGCTTAGTGGTAGAACATTTGCCTGGCATGTATGAGGCCCTTGATTTAATTACCAAAGGGAAAAAAAAAAGGAAATCTTAACACAAAAATTATCCTAAAAATATTGATAACTCATAGAACATTATACTAGTGAGTTGATTGCAAAGAAAGTCTTAAATGTATAATAAAAGTCTTAAATGTAAAGTCATAGTCATAAATGTATAATTGATTACCAATGTAATTGTTTACCAGTATGTTTGTTTCCAACACAAACATAGTTTGTTTTGCCTTGCAAACCCTACTGATAGGCTAAACCATAGCAATCTTATAAGGAAAACAAATTTACTGAATTTTATACTATAATTCGTTGCAATGGAGTTAATACATCATTTAGGTTTTCTAGAAATTGCCTTCTCACATTACCAATGGCTTCAATTCCAGCTGCATATTCCATATCTATATAAGGGAAGATTTTATTTTATTTTTTCAAACTGTGTTTCGTTTTCATATAGAACATAACTCATTTTTGGCTATTATGTTGTTCCTGATCCTTGCAGAAAAATGAAGAGATCATCTGCTACTTGAACTCTTGCTTAGCTTGTTAGATATTTAGGTTGACTTGAACATGCCAGATGTTATCCAGTTGGCAAAACAGCATTTTCTTTACCCATCTGTGTGCAGATCTCTCCATTTAATTCTCCAGCTGTATTGCTTTCTGCCTAATTGTAAATAGCAATATTGAAATGTTTCCCAAGACATGTACCACCAGTGTCCTCCACAAGGACCTTGGAGTCATCTGCCCCTGTCTCCCAGGTCCCCCTTGTTCTACTCACATGTTATTAAAATCATCACAGTTGCAATACTGACATCCCATCTGTTAGGATAAGGCAGTTCTAAAGCTGACTAAGCCAACTGGGATTATCACTTCTAAATTCAGATAGGCACCATGAAGAGCTTTAGAAAAAAATGTTTACCTTTTTTAAAGAATGCACAGAGATGATTAATGCAAGCTAAGAGGAAAGCAAACTATACTGGCTTTGACGAATGATGAAAGTACTTTTGTCTTAAAATTATTCTCTGAAGCCCTAAATCCTGTGGAAAGTATTTTAATTTTATTAACAAATCTTCTTATTATTTAAATAAGTTTCAAGTGTATAAACCAGTGATGCTAGCAGAGCTCGTCCCTTTCAAAGGAATTATTATCATCACCATCATCACCACCATCATTTTCAGCGTCACGATTATTTTGGTACTGGGGGCTGAACTGAACCCAAGCGTGCTTTATAACGAAATTACATCCACAGACATTTTCACTTTCTATTTGAGATAGGGCCTTACTAAACTTCCAACACTGGCCTTGAACCTGTGATCCTCCTCCCTCAGCTTCCTATGTTGGTGGGATGACAGGCGTGCACCACCATCTCTGGCTTCAAAGAAATTACTAAAACAGCAGCTTTACTATTAGTTAATATCTCCTTCATAAATGTTTAAACTGAGAGGAAAAGGAAGTAAATAACCCATGGTTTAGTAAAACAGGATAGAAGAACTTTTTTTATATAACAATAAAAACTAAAATCCATGGGGCTGGGGATATAGCTCAGTTAGTAGAGTGCTTGCCTCAAATGCACAAGGCGCTGGGTTCAATCCCCAGCACCACAAAAAAAAAAAACTGAAATCTATTGAGTTGTTACTGTGTGTCAGAGATTTACATTCATCATCTCATTTAATTCTCATATGAATCTTAAGGTAAATACTGCTGTTACTTCCATTTAACAGAAAACAAACCAAATAATTAATTTGCCAAATGCATAAAAGATTACAAATAGAATATTAAGCCACACACAGTGTTACATGCCTGTGATCCCAGTGATTGGGAAGCTAAGGCAGGAGGATCACAAGTTCTGGGCCAGCCTCAGCAACTTAGTAAGACCCCCATTTCAAAATAAAAATAAATAAACAGGGCTGGGGATGTAGCTCGGTGGCAGAGTACAGATGCTTCATCTAGCTCTTTGGTCTATTGATTTTAATTGGTTTGGTTCATGCGGACCTTAGCTAAGGAATATATTCCAAACTCTTGTTATCATCCTCCTGATAATAATAATAGCAGTCTTCTTGGGGGGCTCTATTCTCCCCCAAAAAAGTTTAAAATACAGCCATGTGTTGAAAGCCAAATAATCTCTATTTGACTGGAAGGACAAAAACTGAGACATGTTTCATCATGAGGACGTTATACCATATGTATCTGTGGAGACCAGAAGTCCAGAGTGACAGTAATAGGATCACTAGTTGTCTCAAGGCATTTCTAGGTGAAAGCGTGATGGACGGAAGACTTTGCTTAACAATGAATATAGGAGAAGTGGGTGTGCTGGTGCACACCTGAAATCCCATCTACACAAATAAGAGGTTCACGATTGGCAAGCCAGCCTTAGCAACTTATTGAAACCCTGTCTCAATAATGTATTTTTTAAAAAGAGAGAGCTGAGGGCTGGGGATGTGGCTCAAGCGGTAGCGTGCTCGCCTGGCATGCGTGCAGCCCGGGTTCGGTCCTCAGCACCACATACAACCAAAGATGTTGTGTCCACCAATAACTAAAAAATAAATATTAAAATTCTTCCTCTCTCTCTCTCTCTCTCTCTCTCTCTCTTTGAAAAAAAAAAGAGAGAGAGAGAGCTGAAGGTGAGACTTGGTGGTAGAGGGCCCCTAGGTTCAAGCCCCAGTGCAAAAAAAAAAAAAAAAAAAAACTAATAAAAAAATAAGAATGATATTAATTATAGGAAGCAGGTCTGGAGGGGTCATAGGGATAGCTTGGGGGTAGAGTGCTTTCCTAGCATGTGCAAAGCCCTGGGTTCAATCTCCAGTACTGAGAACAAAATAAAACAACAACTACATATATGTATACACACACACATACATTTATGACTATTTTATTTTTTACTATATTTCCCCAGATTATGCTAAAAATCAAAATGCAGTCACTCTAAATTTCACATCACCAAGCTGAAACTGAACTATTTATCTGACTTCCAGGGAAATCAGGATTAGAGAGATAAAAGTCAAATTATCAGGATTAGACACAAAAGCCAAATTTCCCAGACTGGCCAGTTTCAATTGGCATGAGAATAATGTTATCTCTGCTTTAATTTCTTATATTAAAAAAGTAACTTTAGGAATCCTGTGTTAACCCACTCTTTGTTTTTCCACTGTTCTTTCTCCTTGCCCAAGCTAAACCCCCCCCTTTCTCTCTCTCTCTCTCTCTCTCTCTCTCTCTCTCTCTCTCTCTCTCTACCAGGGATTGAACTGAGGGGTATTTAATCACTGAACAAAATCCCAGCCCTTTTTATATTTTATTTAGAGATGGGTTCTCACTGAGTTGCTTAGAGTCTTGCTAAATTGCTGAAGTTGGCTTTTGTTTGTTTGTTTGTTTTATGTTTTGGGGATGGGTACTGGCTATTGAACTCAGGGGTACTCCACCACTAAGCCACATGCCCAGCCCTATTGTGTATTTTATTTGGAGACAGGGTATCACTGAGTTGCTTACCGCCTCAACTTTGCTGAGGCTAGCTTTGAACTCGAGATCCTCCTGCCATAGCCTCTGGAGCCTCTGGAATTACAGGCATGGGCCACCACACCTGGCCTGAAGCTGGATTTTTCTACTACTTCATCTTCCCCAGCAGTTGGGATTACAGATGTTTTCCACCATGGGGCCCAGGCTAAACTTAACTTTTTTTTTTTTTTTGGTACCAGAGATCCAGGGATTAAACCCCAGGGATTCTTAACCATTGAGCTATATCCCGGCCCTTTTAATTTTTTATTTTGAGACAAAGCCTTATGAGGTTGCTTAGGTCCTCACTAAATTGCTGAAGCTGGTCTTGAACCCACAATCCTCCCACTTCAGCCTCCAGAGTACCTGGAATTGTCAGCATACACCACCAGGCCTGACACATTCTATAAATCTCGTGCTTTAGTAGAGTGCCAGACCAGTTCTCTGACATGTTTTGGAGTTGTTGTTAGCACTGTGATCCGAACTGATTCTGGAAATGCAGAAAACGTTCTCCTCCCATCTTTATCTCGCATGCTTCCACCTCTACTGTAGAACAGCTGAGAAAGATGTCCATCTCTTATTATTAGGCTTTTTCTCCAATGTTTGCAAAAGCTTCAAAAAACCACAAAAGCAGGTGGTCCACCAATGCCTTTGCCACATGGGGTTGATGTTAGAGGGATAAAAAACAAGAGAGAAAAAGCCTGTGCTCAAAATCAATGAACATTGAATTCTAGAGATGGTTTAACTTAGTATCACATTTGAAAGGGGAAACACTCAGGAATAAGGAAATTGCACAGTTGTAATTTTCAACCATAACACAGCATCAGCTACATTTTGCTTTCCTTTGAGATACTCAGATGAAAGGCAAGCTGGCATGAATGCAAAGTGTTATTACCTATCTTCTCTTTGAAGCTGTGGTTATTTAGTAATCATTCTCATTTAAGTTTGTCTTACTGTTCTATGCATGGTAATGCTTCTAGCTCAGGAGGAAAGCAATTCTTATCATAAAAGCCACCTTATTTCAGAGTGGGGTGAAATTTAAAGCCGCAAGAAAGTGAATTATATTTAACAAGAGTTAAAGCTTTTGAGAAAAATGCAAACATGCTGCAGAATCAAATTAGCCTGCTTTTATAAACTCTCACTTCTAAATTCCTTGGGATGGTTATCTATGTAAAGAAAGAAAGAAAAAGCCTCACATAATCACATTTCTAGTCCCTGAGTCATTAGGATGCCAGCACTGAATGGACTCCAGGGGGCGCTATTCACATTAGCAGTGTGTTCCCTAGAAACACAAGACAGCCTCTTACAGTGGCCTCCTGCGGAGGGGGGCCTGGAAGGGACAAGACCGGATGATGATAAGAATCAACAAGGAAGCTCGTTCAGGGGGGCAGGTGGGAAGAAATGAGATCCTGGATGCTAATAGTAGCTGGGAGGGTGAGAATAATCAGTGCTGAGAAACATTTCCTACATGTTTTAATTTGGGAAACCTCAATGTTTCCTAAAATAAAATAAATCCTAAAAAGGATTTCTTCTTCAGGTACAGTGGCCCACATCAGCAATTCCAGCTACTCAGGAGGCTGAGGCAGGAAGATAGTACCTTTAAGGCCATCTGGGGCCTTCAAAAATGCAAAAAGGCTTTCTTGAAAAAATACAAAAGGCTGGGGATATACCTCAGTGGTAGAGCACCACTGGGTTCAGTTCTTAGTACTGCAGAAAACACAACACACACACACACACACACACACACACACACACCAATCTTTTGGATATGAATGAATGAAAAGGTGGGCTAAGGTTGTAGCTCAGTGGAAGAGCCCTTGCCTAGCATGTGTGAGGCACTGGATTCAATTCTCAGAACCACATATAAATTAATAAAATAAAGGTCCATCGACAACTAAAAAAAAAAAAAAAAAAATATATATATATATATATATATATATATATATATATATATATAAAGAAAAAGGTGTTTCCATACTGTTGTGAATCAATGAAATCATTCTGAACTGCCACTGAACTCTATAGAAATGTTAAATAAACCTAACTTTTGACCCAGGTCTGCAGGAGCACACATCCCAGAGAATCAGAGACAAGTGCGCACACCTGAATGGACACTACCCGTCCCACCGAGCCTCTCCAATTCCATCAAATATGAAGGGATGATTACAACAGGGTACAACTTTATTTTGTCTTCTGAAAGTTGAAATGAATGACATTGGAAGATTCATTGCCTGCAGGTAAACTAGAGGCCTCATTAACTTGGCTCATTTTATTCAGTTAAAACTTGTGTAAAGAGCAGGCCACAGTGGCAGGCTTATAGTCCCAGCACTCCGGGAGGCTGAGGTGGTAGATTGCTTAAATCCAGAAGTTCAAAAGAAAGCCCAGATGAAATTCTCCATGTTTTTTAAATCTGTGTTCCTCCACAAAATTCTAACAGAAGATGAACATCCACCAAGGTGTGTTGCTGTGCAGGACACTATTTTAAACCCTCTGAGTAAGGGCTATTACTTTCATCACCATTCCTCCTTCCCCATTTTACAGGTGAGGAAAGGAGATGCCTGAAGGTGTTAGATAGCTAGATCAGGTCAGACCACTAATAGAGGGGAGGACTGGTTTAAGTGCAGTCTGGCTTTGGAGTCTCCCCAGGCTCTTTTTTTTGAGACAGAGTCTTGCTAAATTGCCCAAACGGACTTCGAACTTTCAATCCTCCTGTCTTATATTCCAGACTTGGTGGGACCATAGGCAGGCACCACCATTCGCAGTAGAGTCTGTGCTCTTAAGCAGGTTCTACTACAGTTCCGGTCACTGGCATCTCCAGTGTACACCTTGCAGAGCTGCATGAATGACCTTCTTGTTGACTCCCTTCCATCTCTACTTTGTTCCCCTAATTGCAGTTGAGAGAGTGTCACAAAATGCTGAGTCAACCTACCTTCACCCCCACCTTGAACTTTTTAATAGCTTCCTGTTGCTTTTAACCTATCCAAATCCTGATCACATCAGGCTATTCTCTCAGTCCCTCGTAAGGGAGGGGCTGCCTCCAGAATGTGCCCCTCCCCCCCTCCCAAGCCACTCCTTTCCTTTCCCCTTCCCCTAATCACTTAGTTCAATAAGCTTCCTGCAGAACCCTTACCCTTCTGGCCTTCAAAACCCTATTTTCAACCTGGTTTCGTAGTGCATACCTGTAATGCCATCAACTCTGGAGATGGAGGCCTGCCTCAACAAGTTAGTGAGACCTTGTTTTAAATAAAATAAAATAAAACTGGCTGGGCGTGGTGACACATGCCTGCATTGCCATTAACTGAGTAGGCTAGGCAGGAGGATCTCAAATCCAAGGTCTGCCTCAGCATTTTAACAAGATCCTGTCTCACACAACAACAAAAATATGGGGGCGGGCGGCTGGCATGTAGCTAAGGGCTAGAGTGCCTCTGGGTTCAATTCCCAGTACCAAAACCAAAAACAAACAAACATACATACATACAAAAAATAAAAAATATAAAAATTACTGTGGGGTGTAGCACCTAGAAGATTCCCTGCTTTACTTTTTTCTTTGTTCTTTATTACTACAGATTAAATCCAAGGTCACTCTGTCACTGGATTATGCCCCTAGCTCCTCCTCACACCCACACCCTTTTTTTTTTTTTTGCACTGGAGATTGACCCTTGACCTTAACCCTTGAGGTGCTCTACCATTGAACTACCTCCACAGCCTCTTTTTATTTTTTGTATTTTGAGACAAATTCTTCCTAAATTGCCTAGCTGGCCTCAAACTTGCCTCTCCCTTCCTCAGCTTCTTGAGTAGCTGGGATCACAGGCATGCAACACTCTACCAGCTTTGCATTTGTTTTGATCACATACATGTAAATCCGTAGATATGTATATTTTTAAAGCACATGAAAAAGCATTTGCTAATGCTATTAGCCATTGACACTATTGGCCATCTGTCCTCCCTACCAGAGTTAAACCCATGAGGCCAATGTCTTTATTGGATTTTGTCCTGTTCTGTCTCCCATGCTAAACATAAAACAGCTCTCCGTACATATTTATTCAACTTGTGAGGAGATTCAACTATGAAGATTTTTTGAACTTAGGATAGACAGAACTTAGGTGTTAGAAGGATACCATAACAAAATAGTAAACAGTTTTTCTTTGTTTCCTTTTTGGTACTAGGAATTGAACCCAGGGCCACTCTAGATGAGCTCCATCTCCAACCTTTTTTTCTTTTTCTTTTTAAATTTTGAGACAGGATCTTGCTAAATTGCTGAGTCTTCCCAAGATTGCTGGGGTGCACCTGGAACTAATGACCATCTTGCCTCAGCCTCTTGGGTTGCTGGGATCACAGATATGCACTGCAACACTCTACCAGTTTGTCTTTTTTTAAAGATTTTTAAAAATTTTTTTAGTTATAGATGAACATAATGACTTTATTTTATTTTTTTATTTTTATGTGGTGCTGAGGATCAAATCCAGTGCCTCATATGTGCTAGGCAAGTGCTCAGCCATTGTAGTGCAGGTCTGTAAAACCAGCAACTCAGGAGACTGAGTCAGGAGAATTGTAAATTCAAGGCCAACCTCAGCTATTTTTTTGTAAATAAAATAAATGCGGGAGGGGAGATTGAATCTAGTGGCACTTAACCACTGAGCCACACTGCCAGCTCTTTTTGATATTTTATTTAGAAACGCGATCTTGCTAAGTTGCTTAGGACCTCGCTAAATTGCTGGGAATGGCTTTGAATTTGCATACCTCCTGCCTCAGCCTCCAAGCCTCTGGGATTACAGACATGTGCCACTGTGCCCAGCAAGCTTTAATAATTTAGTGAGACCCTGTGTCAAATAAAAAAGGGCCAGGAGTGTACCTCAGTGGTAGTGTGACCCTGGTTCAATCCCCAGTTCTAAACACACCACCTGCTTTCCTCCTTGGTGTCTGTGGGCCTGCCCAGTCCACAATTTGCACTTCAATGCAATAGGGGAAAAAAATATATAAAAATAAAAATAAAAATAAATATATATATATACACACACACACATATATATATAGATAGATATAGACACATACTTATATGTGTATGATATTTATTATCATTATTTATTGGTACTAGGAATTAAACCCAGGGGTGCTTAACCACTGAGCAACATCTCCAACCCTTTTTATCTTTTTAGACAGGGTCTTGCTAAATTGCTTAGGGCTTCTTTAAGTTGCTGAGGCTGTCTTGAACTTGCAATCCTTTAGTCCAGCCTCCCAAGCCGCTGGTATTATAGACTTTAAAAATAATTTTTAGTGCTTGGCATATTGTAAGTAGTGGTGATAGAAAGCTGGAGTTTTCATTGTTTGGGTGACTTGCATAAGAAATAGAAAATATATAGTTTCTTCAAGTTCTGGTCCCTGGATTCAATTGTTTCCATGTGTTCCACCATGAATCCCTTAACATCCAGCTCAGAAGTCTCTGTTTGCTTTTCTTTTTTTCAGAAATCATCCCATGAGCTTCTGACTTCCCGAAGACTCCTGAACCACAATTTGGATAAAAATTAAGAATTCACAGAAAAGGATCAGGAAACACATTAATAACTCAGCCACACAACCATGGCCTCATAAATTAGCAAGGCAATTTTAGCATGCAGAAATTGTGGGGGAACTGAGTGCAGTGGCCCACGTGTGAAATCCCAGCAGTTCTGGAGGATGAAACAGGAGAATCACAAGTTCAAGGCCATCCTCAGCAATTTAGTAAAGCCCTAAGCAATTTAGCAAGGCTTAGTCCCAAAACTAAAAAAAAAAAAAAAAGGTGGGGTGGGGTGGGGGACTGAGGTTGTGGCTCAGTGGTAAAGTGCCTCTGGGTTCAATCTCCAGAACCAAAAAAAAAAAAATGGGAGGGAGGGAGCAGAAGGGGAGGGGACAAGGAAGAGTGACTTTGGATGACAGGAAGTAGGAGGAGACATTTCAGAGTGCTCTGGGGTCAGGGGCCATTTGGGAAGGAGAATTTTCTATCAATTTCAACTTTTTTTCCCCAAGTATGGAGAATTCAGGAGACAAGGAGGTAAATACAACTTTGTAAGTTTGTTTTCTCTTCTTCTAGTATCATGTTTCTCCTTCTGAGCACACTTGATCTTTCTTTGGGGGATAAAGGAAAGGATTTAAATTTTTTTCCTCTTTCTTTGTTGGGAAAAAAAAAAGCTCTTAGACACAGTCGCAGCCCAGTATATTTGAGTGAAAGAACAGCTAGGAAGTGACGCTCCCTGCTGTGATTGTGAAGAGGCTTTGTCTTGTCAGGAGAAGTTGAGAGTTACTACTGGGCCTGGAGGGAAAGGGTCACAGGAGAAAAGGGGCGGAGAGGGGGAAGCTTTTAGGAAGAGGTCATAGAGCTGAGGCGGGGGCGGGGGGGGGGGGGGGGGGAGAGAATGAAACCCCTTAATTCCATCTGACAGATCCTGGTCCTAAGCCGTAGGAGCTGGGTCCCCTTTGCTCAGGGTCAAGAGACCTGAGGAATGACCAGAAGCCAGACCCAGGAATGAGCATGCTTGAGCCTCTTTCCTAGAAGCAGACTCTTTTTAACATTCTAAATTTTAAGATTTTTGTGAGGCCCCAAAGCAAGTACTTTGTGAAAGGGTTTTGCAAATATTGATTTTGAATATGAATGTGAAAGTACTACGGAGTAGTAGTGCCAAACAAATGTTAATTTCTCCCTTTCTCCCACCCTGGAGGAAATTGGAAAGATTTTGGAGCACCCTTACCTGGGGTTTAATTATAATAATGTGCCCTTACCCAGTGTGTCCTTCCTCACCTTGACTTCAGCTTCTACATTTAAAAAGTAAATGGTTGTGAGGTTATTCTGTAGATTAAATGAATGAAAATAAGGACACGTCAAACCTATACCTATATAAAATAGAAGCTCAGCCAGGCACAGGGAATCACACCTGTAACCCCAGCTACGGGGGTGGATTGAAACCGGAGGCTCACAGGTTGGAGACCAGCTCCTGCTGGGAGACTTAGCTAGAGCCTGTCTCAAAATAAAATTCTAAAAGGGACTGGGGATGTCGCTTGGTGGTAGAGTTCTTACCTAGCATGCTCAATGCCCTACAATCGCAAAAGATAAAGGCCTAATACTTTAGCATCTCTGTATTCAACAACTTATTCCCATTGCCCTTTGTTCTTTTTAACTCAGTCAAGATTTATTGAGTGCCTACAATAAAAGGGAAAGAAATTACACCCTTGTGGAGCTTACAATCAAATGCAGCCACAGGCATTGATCAGATCACAGGAGTACATATGAAATTCCAATTGACAAATTGTGGGCATGAGGCAATATGTGGCAGATCTGACTGAAAGGACTAGAAAGGGTTCCCAGGTGAAATGACACTTAAAGTGAGCTTCTGAAAGAAGAGTAAGAATGTCAACAGAAGCCTGCTAGGGTCTGGGCTGAAATTTCATGACAGGCCTCAGTAATCGCTTAGGCAAAGAAAAGAATTGCGTGACTGGAGGTTGAGGAATGGAGAGCAGCAACTTGGGACCAGGCTGAGATGAGAGAGAAGAACCTGGCAGGTCGTGTTCTTCATGCAAAAAGCAGTCACCCACCTAAGGGAAATGGAGTCAAGAATGAAGGAATGAGAGGGGAGACATTTTTGGGGTGAGAGATGATGGATATAGTACAGGACACAAGGACTTCTTCTCCCAAGATAAACTATTTTTGTTTATTTACTTGGTTGTTTTGTTGTTGTTGTTTTGGTTTTTTTTTAGTTGTTTTTTTTTTTCAATATTTTTTAGTTGTCAATGGACCTTTATTTATTTATATGCGATGCTGAGAATCAAACCCAGTGCCTCACACATGCTAGCAAGTGCTGTACCACTGAGCCACAACCCCAGCCCTACTTCTTTGTTTATATCTATAACTCTATCTTGTACTTTCCTTGGGCTTTTTTCTTTGGGGGGGGGGGTGGTCCTGGGGGTCGAACCCAAGGCCTCACATATGCTAGGCAAGCACTCTACCACTGAGCTACATCCCCAGCCCCTCTATCTTGTACTTTCAAACTGACTTCCTCTCATTTCCCCTATAATTGCTTACCTATATTGAAAAATGAAACTGGATATTAAGGTGATAGCCAGAGAAGTCAGGAGCAGTGGCACGCACCTGCAATACAAGTTACTTGGGAGGCTAAAGCAGGAGGGTCACATGTTCAAGGTCAACCTAGGCAACTTAGTGAGACTCTGTCTCAAAAATATAAAAGGGCTGGGGATGTAGCTCAGTGGTAGAGCTCCCCTGGGTTTAATCATAGAGCAGGTAGGTGTGGGGGGTGACACATCAGAGGAACGACTGACCAGTCCTCTACCCCAGAGGAGCTACACAGAGAAGTCGAGGCAAGAAGAAAGAGGAGCTTCTAGTCAACCAAGCACTTCAACACAGGGGACAAAACGAAAAAAAAAAGTGCAAGATGACCAAGGTAAAAGATCTACAAATCCTCTAATCCCACTTCCTCAGGTCCAAGAAGCCTGAAGAATTGTTCTAAAGGCATTGTAAAAACAAGTGAGGACAATGCCTAAGCTTGATTAGGGGTGGAATGTAGGGTTGGTTATCATTGACATTAGAATAATTAGGTAAGACACCTGCACTGTGCCTGACCAGTAATATATGCTCAGTAAACCCTAGTGACCATTAGTGCCATTCCAGTTTGTGTCTGTCCTGGAGGTGTGTTCTGAGAACATTTATCGAATGGTGATTGTGAGTGAGGTACCATAGCAGCAGAATGAACAGAAACAGTAGAGCTAAGGAGTCAATAGGCACAGTAAGATCCAAGGGCTGCCCTGGCTGGTGGGGGCGGTGGGGAGGCAGAATTATGGGGGTTAGTGGTGGTTTGTGTTGTATTGCCGGGTGTTTATTTTGTTCTATGGTAGAAGACAAGATATCACTGAGCCATATGTGGTGGTGCACAGCCATAATCCCAGCGGCTGGGGAGGCTGAGGGAAGAGGATTGCAGGTTCAAGACCAGGCTCAGCAACTCAGCAAGGCCCTAAGCAACTTAGTGAGACTCTGTCTCAAAGTTAAAAAAAAAAAAAAAAAAAAAAAAGGCTAATAAAAAGACTAAGCAGTTAAGTCACCCTGGGTTCAATCCCTAGTACAAAAAAATTAAATATATAATGTCACTAAGTATTCACTGAGTGTTTATGATCCTAATTGGAATATTTCAGAGGTTTTCCCAGGATGGAAGTGCAGCTACCTGGACTCTATAGGACGGGCTCAAAAGGAACAAGTACATATGAGTCATGAGTAGTGAGTGGGGAGTTTCAGTAGAACTGTTAGGTCCTAGGTTGAGGTTCTGCCCCTTGGAAGCTATGGAGCCATTAGCAAGCCCTTTGACTGTATGATGGGGGATTGGACTATGAGAACTAAAAGTGATTATATTTTTTGAATGGGAAAGTGACATAGAAGTTAGTTATTGCTAATGTTCTTCCATTTTCCTTCAGCGTCCTGTCCAAAGAAGAAATCAGAAGATACTAACAGCCAAAAATGTCCCAAAAAGATATCAGTTCCTCCCCTACCCTTGGAACTGCCACCAATCAACTTTGTTCACCGAGATGTTTTGCGGGCCTGGTGCCAACAGTTACATTTGAGCAGCAAAGGCCAGGTGAGGGCTCTGGGTGGGAGACACCCTGCTGGGAGGAGAAATAGGAACCTTGTTTTCTTTAGTAACTCTTTTTCTCTTGTCTTAGAAATTAGACACATATAAGAGGCTCTGTGACAAGGCTTACCCACAGCAAAAGGTGAGTAACGTTTTCTTTTAAGGAAAATTAATAGTTCTTACCCTGGTAACCTACTTCTTCAGTAATAAGATTTTAGAGACCAGTTATGGTAGCTCTCGCCTGTAATCTCAGTGACTTGGAAGGCTGAGGGAAGAGATTTGCAAATTTGAGGCCAGCCTATACAAATTAGTGAGGCCCTCCCTGTCTCAAAATAAAAAATAAAAAGAGCTGGGGTAGGCCAGGAGTAGTGCACTTACCTATAATCCCAGCAGCTGAGGGAGACTGAGGCAAGAAAATCATGAGTTCAAAGTCATCCTCAGCAAAAATGAGGCACTAAGCAAGGCAGTGAGACTTTATCTCTAAATAAAATTAAAAATAGGGCTGGAGATATGGCTCAGTGGTTGAGTGCCCCTGAGTTCAATCCCCGGTATCCCTCCCACACCAAAAAAGGAAGAAGAAGAAGAAGAGCTGAAGTATGGCTCACAGGTAGAGCACCCCTGAGTTCAGTCCTCAATACCAGGTGTAGGGGTGAGTTGAGGAGCAATCTCAGCCCCTCTTTCTTGCTTCTCCCTGGTCATAAGAAAGAACAATGTCTTCCTGTCTTCACTTAACATCAACATGATAAAAATTAATGAAAAATTATATTTTATTTTTGATTTATTTTTTGCTGCTGGAGATTGAACCAAAGGTCATTCTAACCTCTACGATTGAGCTACAGCTCTAGTCTCTTTTGTTTTAATTTATGAATATTAATAGTAAATGTTTATGGGGTAAAACATTGTTCATTGTGTATATATTGCAGAATGTCTAAATTGAGCTAATTAGCAAGTGCATTGCCTCACGAACTATTTTGGTTTGTTTATTGTTGGCTTGTTTTGGTACTGGGTATTGAATCTCTCAGGAATGCTTTACCACTGTTCTACATTCCACTTTTATTTTTGTTTTGAGACAGGGACTTGCTAAATTGCTGAGGCTGGCCTCAAACTTGCCATCCTCCTGCCTCAGCCTCCTGAGTAGCTGGGATTACAGGCATGCACCACTGCATTTTCATCTTTACTGTTATTGTTTTTGTTATTTCTAACATTTAGCTCTATTTGCAGAATATTCCTATCACAGCAAACGAGACCCGGATGTCAATTCGAAGTAATTTGAAGGCGGACAAAAGGAAAAAGCCCCTGGGAAGTTCTAAGAAAAGAACATGTTCTGTGGGTACTGCTCCCCTTGAAGTGGTCCCTTCACCAGAGGAGTTGCCTGTCCTTGAGGAGCCCCCTGCTCTCTATGAAGAAGTTAGTACAAGTGTGGTGATGACATCTGCCCCGGAGGAGGTGTTGGGCTCCTGGAATACAGATGAAGCCAGCGCCATGCAGGAGGAGACTGTGCAGTCCCCACCAGAGACCCATGGTAAGCCCAATATGGAGAGCTTATTCTGACTCAGTGAGGAGATAGGCTCAATTAGTAAAGTATATCTAAATCACCTCAAGGGCTGGAAATTCCTGGAGCCAGTAACAGCAATGTCTAACATCAACTGTTTGGCTGGGCACAGTAGCACACGCCAGTCATCTAGCCACTCAGAAGTCTGAGGCTGGAGGATTGCAAGTTCAAAGCCAGTCTGAGTAGCTTAGTGAGACCCTGTCACAAAGAAAAATACAAAAAGAGTTAGGGATATAACTCAGCAGTAGAGCACCCCAGGGTTCAATCTCCAGTGTTAGGCAATCAATTAAATAAAAAATAAGCCAGGTAAAGTGGCACACACCTACAGTCCCAGCTACTCAGGAGCCTAAGGCTGGGGGATTGCAAGTTCAATGGCAGCCTGGGCAATTAAGTAAGTCGTGTCTCAAAAAGTGATTTTTTTAAGCTGGGCACAGTGACACACACCTGTAATCCCAGCAGCTCAGGAGGCTGAGACAGGAGAATCAAGAGTTCAAAGCCAGCCTCAGCAAAAGCTAGGCTCTAAGCAACTCAGAGAGACCCTGTTTCTAAATAAAATACAAAATAGGGCTGGAGATGTGGCTCAATGATTGAGTGGCCCTGAGTTCAATCCCTGGTACCTCCTCCCCCAGAAAAATGATTTTTAAAAATTAATAAATAAAAAAGGCTGGGCATGTAGCTCAGTGGTAAAGTACCCCTGAGTTCAATCCTCAGTAATAAATAAATAGACAAATAAGTAAATGAATAAATAAATAAATAAAAGAAAAAGGACTGAGAATGTATTTAGTGGTAGAGTACTTGCCTACCATATAAAAGGACCTGGGTTCAATTCCTAGGAACACACTAACACAAAAATTAATTAATTAATTAAAAATAAAAGTCAACTATATGGATTTGAGCTCTGGATCTCCTGGCATCTGTTGAGTGACATAACAGTCCCCAGTTTTCTTGTCATAAAATAAATCAATAATACAAAATTTATCTTCTAAGTATTATAAGAAATGCAGTGAAAGTTGAGACCCATGAAGCTATTTCATGGTGGTCTTGAAGTATTTTGTTTTGTTTGCTTTGTGTTTTGTTTTTTCTCAGTGCTGAGGATTGAGTACAGAAGTGCCCTACACTGACCATTCTTTAATTTTTTTTTTTTTTTTTTTTTTTTTTTTTTTGAGACACGGTGAGAGGGTCCCACTAAGTTATACAGACTAGCCTCAAATTTGTGATCCTCCTGCTTCAGCCTCCTAGGTAGTTCAGGTTACAGGTGTGTGCCACCACACCTAGCCAGGCCTTTAATTTTGAACCTGCACTGTCTTTTCATACTTTCCTAAAATGCAGCAGGGTAGAGTAGAGGTGAAGTTAGGATTCAGAGTTCATTTCTTGGGGATAGCATTTGAATACGATAGTTGAATCAAGAGTGACAGGCTATGGTCAGTCTGAACATGAGCATGTGGTCCTGGTATACTCATAGAAAATCTCGTTTCTTCCTCAGGTGTCAGGTGGTGTGTGGTCCATGGCAGAAGTCTCCCTGCAGACAAAAGTGGTTGGGTTCAGCTGCAGTTTCACGCTGGACAAGCCTGGGTACCTGAAAAGAAAAAAGGGAAAGTGAGCGCACTGTTCTTACTCCCCTCTTGCAGTTTTCCACCTCGACACCTGGAGGACAACCTGTTGTGCCCCAAGTGTGTTAAGAGGTAACCACCTGGTCCATTTCTATAAACTCAAAGTGGGCACCTGGTTTGGGGTTGAGGAAGAGGAAGGATACTCATTTATCTTCATCGGTGTTTATTTCAAGCACAAGTTATCAGTAAGGAGTTTTGAGAATATTAGTACCTAGGTAACTCTATCCCCAAGAAAAAGAACATTTATGTTTCAAAGCTTATTGCTTCTATTTGGAAACACAGAATCTGCAGCACAATTCATTGCGTAATGAATTACTATATTCAAAGTATATGGACTACAGAGAAATAATGACTAGACAAAAATCATCTTCCTCTAATTAGTTTCCAGTCCAATGGGGATGTACTGGCATATAAATAACTGGAGTGCCATGTGATGACCGTTGTCAAAAAAGATATTTCATTTATTTATTTATTTATTTATTTATTTATTTATTTATTTATTGCAGTACTGAAGATCCAAATCAAGACCTCACATGCTAGGCATCTCTCTATCACTGAGTTATATCCTAGTCCTAAAGAACGAACTGTTTCAACAGTACTGGGAATTAAACCCAGGAGTGCTCTATCATTGAGCAATACTCCAGCCCTTTTACTTTTTACTCTGAATCAAGGTTTCACTAAGTTGTCAGGGCAGTCCTGAAACTTATGATCCTTCCTTAGCTTCCTAAGTAGCTGGATTATAGGCATGTGCCACTGCATCTGGCTAAGAGATTTCTCTTTCTTTCTCTCTTCTTTTTTTTTTCCTGGTACTGGGAATGAACTCAGGGCACTTTACCGCTGAGCCACATCACCAGCCCTTTTTACTTTTTTTTTAAGAGAGAGAGAGAGTTTTTAGTACTTATTTTTTAATTTTTGGCGGACACAACATCTTTGTTTGTATGTGGTGCTGAGGATCGAACCCGGGCCGCACACATGCCAGACGAGCACGCTACCACTTGAGCTACATCCCCAGCCCCCCTTTCTACTTTTCGAGAGACAAGTTCTCGCTAAGTTGCTGAGGGTCTTGCTAAGCTGCCCAGGATGGCCTTGAACTTGCTATCCTCCTGCTTTAATCTCCTGAGTCACCAGGAGCATAGGCATGTGCCACCATACCCAGCAAGAAAAGATTTCTTAAGGGAAGAATTGACAAAATAGAAAGGAGGGATAAATTCATCTTTCAGCATGCAGAGTAGTGCCAAGGCTACGAAAGAACTTAGACAAATCACAAGTTGCAAGTAGTTCAGTATGACTACAATGTGGTGAAATAGGGTGCAAGACCACAATTGTCTCAATTAATGCCTATCTGAAGCTATTGTAGAAATTACTTCAGTGAGTAGGATTAGTTTGGGTAAATTCTTAACTCAAATAGAGCATTATACATTTGAAGTAATATCATTAGTTTGGTATCTAATATTGGAGCTTCAGAGTTTACCCAGCAGCTAACCTGGCATTCTTTTGAAAGGTGTCTTTTGGGGTTGGGGATGTGGCTCAAGCAGTAGTGCGCTTGCCTAGCACGCGTTCGGCCCGGGTTCGATCCTCAACACCACATACAAACAAAGATGTTGTGTCCGCCGAAAACTAAAATAAATAAATAAATATTTTTTTTAGAAAAAGATGTCTTTTGTTATATTATGTGATCAACAGACTATCTTCACAATCAGTAAACAATCAACTTTGGAAGCACAATCATTAAGAAAACAGCAGGAACACCACCAAGGGTTTTTCTCTGTAGCTTAAGTTCTAAACCAAATTGAAATCAACGTATTAAACAAAATTATTTGACCAAAGAGGAATAGACCTGGGGAAAAGGGCTTGATAAATTTGCTGATCTTTGTATAAAGTATACCAACTAACATATGGCTTCTAGATAAGTAGATAAGAAGATAAGGGTATGTTACTCAGTGGTAGGGTGCTTGTCTAGAGTGTGCAAGGCCTTGGGTTCAATCCTTACCACTGTAAACAAACAAGCCAACAAACAAACAGCCACCAAATTTGACAAATCTCAGTAGTTGAGGGGAAAACTATTTTGAAGCAGCAGCAGGATTGTTCCAAAGATGAGCAGATGAGAAGTCTTGGATTGCAGTCATCTGTAACAATAATCATTTCAATAATTTTATACTTGCCACTTAACTTTTCTAAGCCTCAGTTTATCCAGCAAAGGGCAACTAAACCATTTGTTTGTTTGGCTTTTTTTTTTTTTTTTTTTTTCTTTTTTTAGTACTGGAGACTAAATTAAACCCAGGAGCATATAAACACTAAACTACATCCCGGGCCCTTTTGACCTTCTCTTACTAAGTTGGTTAGGACCTCACTGATTTGCTGAGGCTGGCGTCGAACTTGTGATCTTCCTGCCTCAGCCTTACCAGCTTCTGGGATTACAGGCATGCATCACCACATCCTATAATTTTTCTTATTTTTTATTTTGAGAAAGGATACGGCCAAGTTGCTGAGGCTGGCTTTGAGCTTGTGATGCTCTTGCCTCACCCTCCAGAATCACTGGATTACAGGTGTGCTCCATCACATCCTTGTTTGTTTTTGACTCTTTGCTCTGTCATTTTGTGATGATGGGATTGAACCCAGAACCTCACACAATCTAGGCAAGAGCTCTAGCACCGAGCCACAGCTACAGTCCTAAGGATAATTTCACTGGCATTTCAATGGTGGGTTTCTATTTTAAAGGATAAAACTTGATAATTTTTGTTTTCCCTGTTACTAAAACCAAACATTTCATTTGTTTTATAGGAACAAGACTTTAATTAATAGTCTCCGGTGGGTATAGAATACCAAGATAAAAGAACTGTCTATGGTTTTCTCGTCCCCTTCTGATGTCACCTGCTGTTCTTGTGATGTGGCAAGCTATGACTGAGACTGATGGAAATCCAAAAGCCTATGTATGTCCTCAGATGGCCACCTTACCAAGAAATCACTGGAACATGTCAGATGGCAGTGGCATATGCCTATAATCCCAGCAATTTAGGAAACTGAGGCTGAAGGATCACGAGTTCCAGGCAGCTTGGGCAATTTAGTTATAAAATGAAAAGGACTGGGGATGTAGCAAGAAGCCCATGGGTTCAATCCCAGTACCAAACAAAAACCAAAAACAAAAGGAAAAAAAGAACCAAACTGTCTGTCGGAACTTGTTTCACATTCCTTTAACCACAAGGAGCCACAAAGAGGAGCCAGTGAGACCACCAAAACCTTCAACAGGCTGGGCAACAAGTACACACTTGTCATCCTAGCTACTTGGGAAGCGGAGGCAGGAGGATCCCAAGTTTGAGGGCAGCCTTGGCAATTTAGTGAGACGCTATATCAAAATCAGAAACGAAAAGGGCTGGAGATGTGGTTCAGTGATAGAGCAGCCCTGGGTTCAATCCCGAGTACCAAAAAAGAAAGGAAGAAAAAACTTTCAATGGGGTCCCCGAGTTCATTGTGATGGCTGCTGACACCCAGCCCCTGCGGTGAACACCAGAATGCATGCTCTGTGTGTCTGAGTGCAGGGCTGAAGGGTCTCCTGGGCTGTCAGCTATCCCATTAGCAACACAAAGGGCCCAGCTCTGAAGCTGCAGGTGCAGCCCACCCAGCCTGGAGCCTGGGCCACACTTTCCCACTGACTCCTCCCCCAGTTGAAGCACATTGTTCATGTTAGCATGGTATATGCATCTGCTTTCTATTGTTTTTAAATGATGTACTAAATCTGGTTTCTGAATTTTATTGTTTCCGTTTTATAGGGTTGGTTTTTGTTCGGGGGAGGTACTAGGGATTGAACCCTGGGTTAGTTTGGTTTTTTTTTTTCTTTTTTTTTTTTTTTTGAGGGGGGGTACTAGGGATAGAACCCAGGGATGCATTTCCACTGAGCTACACCTTTATACATTTTTATTTTTTGTTTTGAGACAGTCTCGCTAAATTGCTGAGGCTGGCCTTGAACTTGCCATCCTCCCTCAACCTTCTGATTCACTGGGATTGTGGGTGTGCAGGCTCCTCTTCCATTCTTTCATACTCCCTTTTGAGGAATGAGCTAATGCCTAGAACAGACTGAAGCCAAGGGGTAGAAGAACCCTTCAACAGCTGGCAGAGCCAGGACAAAACTGATCAAGCCAGGATAGCCATCTGGTCCAAGCTTTCATGGACTTACTTCATAGGTTATGCAACATGATGGGAGTAAACACTAGCCACTGGGTGTCTTTGGTGCCGGGCATAAAGAATCATTCCTGGGCTGGGGATATGGCTCAAGTGGTAGCGCACTTGCCTAGCATGCGTTTGGCCCGGGTTCGATCCTCAGCACCACATACAAACAAAGATGTGTGCCCGCTGAAAACTAAAAAAAATAAATAAATATTAAAAAATTATCTCTCTCTCTCTCTCTCTCTCAAAAAAAAAAAAATAAATGGAAGTTTGCATTTAAAAAAATTTTTAAAAAAAGAATCATTCCTTACAAATGTTAAAATGACTGAGGTCTTTCCTTGGCTCCCGGGGATGGTAGATTATTTGAGGAGCGAGCTTGTGCTCCTCCAACTCCCACTCTCTTCCCCTAATGCTTTGAAAGAAAGGGAGACCAACACCTGGAGCTGCACACTCCATGTGCCTCAGATGAATTCCGCAGCAGAGGGAGGACCTACCATCCTCTTGCTGTTTAGGGGTAGCCAAGGGAAGAGATTTGCACTTCAGTTCCCAGCCTTGCAGATAGGTCTGTGTCCATAGTATGTGGTGTGAACCAGGTGTGAAGTACAACAGGAATGGTGGTGTGAGAAATCAAGAACTGGCCTTCCAAATTTCTCTTGGCTCCAAAGGGACACGGAAGATTCCAAGAGTAGGTGCTGAAAATCCAAAGGGCCTGCCAAGCCTGAGCTGACTGGCAGAGGGAGATGGGTCTGCAGAAAGAAAGCCGGTGAACTCCCTGACAGAATCATAGCAGATGTCAGCACATCTCCAAGCATCTCTAGTCGATGAGGAGAGCCAGGGAGGGAAAAGCAGATGGGGAGATTTTTAAAACCCAATCCACTAAAAAAATTTCCTAAAAATGCACCAACTAAGTTTCTACATTTTAGCAAAGATGGGGCTTACAGACATCATTGAAATTTTTTATGTCCATCTTAGCCAAATTTAGCACCACCAGAAATGGTAAAAACTGAAATGTATCATCTGGTATCATACAATGGACAGCACACAGTATTACTAATATATTTGCTGATAGGATTTATGGAAATCTAATCATGAAGAAGTAATTGTCCTGATTATATCTGTTGTTTCAGTATAATAATTAGAGTGAGCTTAATACACTTGGGCTCCCTGTTTTCTGTTTCCAACACTTTTAAATAAACAAATTTCTCTCTATAAAAAGTAAATTAATAATTGTATTCCACCATTAATACAATATGTATATCTCTCCCTTCACTGAATACGGAATAAATATTGCATGATACTATAGCAATTTTTTTTTTTTAATTTTGTTCTTTTTCCAACTTTTCTTCCCTGCAAACTCAGGGTAGAGACTAAATTTCTTTGTTGTGATAACTAGTGTGGTTATGCAGAATATAGGTATATAATATGCAGAGAGAATTTTGCAAAAAACATTAAAAATTAATGAGATATAGAATATATACAGGTACACCAACTTTTTTTTTTTTTTTTTTTTTTTTTTTAATTGAACTCACAACCACTGAGACACATCCCCAGTCCTATTTTGTATTTTATTTTAGAGACAGGGTCTCACTGAATTGCTTAGTGCCTTTCGGAGGCTGGCTTTGAACTCGCCATCCTCCTGTCTCAGCCTCCCAAGCCGCTGCCATTACAGGTGTGCACCACCGCGCCGAGCAGGTACACCAACTTTTAAGTTTGAAAAATAACCAAAACATGGGAAAAGAGACAGACACTAGGACAAAGGCGTGTAGTTCCAGGGACTCTGGAGGCTGAGGCAGCAGTCTCAGAAGTTTCAGGCCAGCCTCAGAACAAAAAGGGTTGGAGATGGGCGCGGTGGCCCCCACCTGTAATCCCAGCGGTTTGGGAGGCTGAGACCGGAAGATGGTGAGTTCAAAGCCAGCCTCAGCAAGGCACTAAGCAACTCTGTTTCCTGGTACCAAAAAGGGGGACAGGGGCGGGGATATAACTCAGTGGTGGAGCACTCCAGGGTTCAACCTTGGGAAAATACTCATTTGTATATATGAAAAGGTCTTTAGAAATACAAATCAGCTCACCACATTCTTCTCATTAAACCCTTCCAAAGATCAATTTCATTCAGGAAAAAACCTATCCTTGTAATGACCTCCCATACCTTATCTATCTTTTGTCCTCCTTATCTCTTGCCTCACCTCCAACCACCCTGCCCTTCCTGTTTCTTAAGCAGCCAAATATTATCTCACTTTAGGGTCTTATCTTTGGTTGTAATGATCATTCTCCCAATGTTCCCGTGGTGAACTATCTAAGTCTCTCTTAATGTCACTTTATCAAAGAGGCAAACTCTGAACCCCTTTTGAAATCACAAGCTGTTTCTCAACCCCTACATGTACCATTTAGCCCCTTTATATACTGCCTATAGCTTTCTATTTTTCTATGACATTAATCTCCTTTAACATAATACATAATTTGATATTTTTGTTTGTCTTCGTCTAATAGTATCCTTTTTTGTTTGTTTGGTTTGGTTCGATTTGGTTTGGTACTGGAGATTGAACCCCAAAGGTTCTCTACTACCAAGCTACGTCCCTAGGCCTTTGCATTTCTTGTTTTAAGTTGTCCTGGCTGAGGGCTGGGGGTTGTGGCTCAGTGGCAGAGTGCTTGCCTAGCATGTGTGAGGCACTGGGTTTGATCCTCAGCACCACATAAAATAAATAAATAAAATAAAGGTATTGTGTCCATCTATAACTAAAAAATATTAAAAACAAACAAAAAAACAGCTGTCCTGGCTGAATTCAAGCTTACAATGTTCCTGCCTCAACCTCCAGAGTCACTGGAATTATGGGCATGTGCTACTACTGTACCTGGCTTCCTCTAATAGTATGAAGATTTACTGTGTCTTATGCACTTAGATGTACAATCTTTTGGTCTTTCGTTTTTGAACCTGTTCTTTTCCCATCACTGGGAGGAATTATAATTTTACAGGAAAGTGTAACATGTTAACGTATTCAGAAGAGGAGTGCCATCACCTGAGTATCCCATTTCTCTTTATTTACTTCAAAGCATGCAGGTAAAGGACCTTGTGTCTTTTTGTGATCTACTACAGGGAAAGTAACTGATCTCAACTTTATTTTTAAATTTTATTTATAGGTCTTGCAGTGCTGGGGTTTGAACCCAGGGCTTCACACACCGAGCTACATCCCTAGCTCCAATGTGGTCCCAACTTTAAAATCACCACTGCGAGTTCATGCTCAGGCTATAACTCTTACCAGCTACTTCCAACCAGCAAGAGCTGCAGGGATTCTGTGCCTGGGTCATTTTTACAGTTTAGACTCCAGGACTCCTCATCAGCCCTGCCGACACTGTCAGAACTGCACTGACACTTGGGATGCCTCCTTTCCAAACTCCCTTCCCTCCTTCACAGGGTCTCATGGTCTCCCCGTCTCTGGGTCTCCCAGCCTCCCCTGGCCTCTAATTTTTCTTCACTGTTTTCTCCAATAAATCTGACATCTTGGCATCTGCTTCTTGGAGGACTCAAACAAATCCATGTTGTTCCAAAAATGGTCACAGGAAAAGGTTATCAGATGGGACTTTGAACTCTCTTACTTGCCTGCCACTGCACACGGGAGGACACCATTCTGAATACTGTGTGGGACATGGATACCTGGCAAA